AAAACAACCAAGCCCAGAGAACTCCAAGGACTCCACGGTGTGACTTTTGGTCCTGAGCATAGGGGTCCATTCCTAACCACCGTGATGCCGAAATGGGCATTGGGACATGCTTTAAGCTTGAGCCTTTTGTATTTTATTGTCATGTGATCAATTCACCTACATGCTTTTCAGATGGGAGATTGGAGGCTGTTGTGTAAGAAAAAAAGGAGGAGTGGATGTTCTCATGCAAGTGGTAAGATACTCGTATGTGTGTGTGTGTGTGTGTGTATATAATATCTCCTTTTTTGGTAGACTGCATGAGAGGAAGAACTTTCATGAAAAGGGCCAACTTTGTAAGTCTAGCTGGCAGATAAGATAATCCTGCTCTCTTATAGTCATTTATTCAGAAGAGTTTAAAGACATAAAATTAGCTGTTTGGGGCAGTGTTGAATTTTAGATTACATTGATTTCAACACATAACATTCCCAGGGCATTTGATTGTGATAGCACTTGCTTTCCTACTACACAGGAGTGTTGTCCTGAGTCCTAGAAAGAAAAAAACCAACAGTGGCCACCACATCTGGTGCTGGAGGAGGAACAGAACTTTTTCTATTGCAGCCCCTGCCATGTGGAACAGCCTTATCCTGGGATCCAGCAGGTCCCCAACCCTTTTAGCCATCCGTAGAGAGCTGGTTCTTCCCCCTGGGATAGAGTGAGGTGGGCACCTGTGGATGGTTCTGTAGGACACATCTAAGAGGTTGGTTATGGCACAGGGTTTTGGTTTTGGTTTTGTAGTTGTAACGGTTTTCTGGTTTTTGTTGTTGTTGTGAACCGCCCGGAGTTGTGTTCCTAAGATGGGTGACTGTACAAATCTTTTAAATAAAATAAGTGGATTGGCAGGGCTGGATTAAAGTGTTTTTGAACCTGGGTGCTCTCATACTTATCAGCCCCATCAATAGTTAAACATTATGCACTCTGTCCAATGGGTAGGTTCCATAACACTATCGTAAATCTATAGAATATAGACCAGTGTTTTTCAACTGTGACAAGTTGAAGATGGGTGGACTTCAATGCCCAGAATTCCCCAGCCAGCATGCTGGCTGGGGAATTCTGGGCATTGAAGT